ACATACATAATTTTTTCAAATAATTTTGTAAATTTGTTAACTTTTTTTTCTAAAATTCTTTAATAGTTAATGTCTTTTTCTGAAACAAAATAAAATATATTTTTTTGTAACATACATTTAAGAAAAAAAATCCTGTTTAACAGATTTTATCCTCTACTGTCGGATGGTTGGAATGAGGACCAGTAGCCTTTCCAAAGTCATAAAAATATAAAAAATTGAAAGAATAAAATGTCAAAAACATATTGAAAAAAATGTGAAAAAACTGAAAAAAGTAAAAAAAAAAAAAATTGAATATTAAACTTTCACATAAATATTCTGAATTACTATTTAACTTTTTTTGATTGACAAGTTTTTAAAGTCAATTATTGAAAAGCATTTTCTTTTGCTTTCTGTCTTTTGCTTTCAATAATTCTGGGCTAAATTTCTCTCCATAAATAGGAGGCATTTAAATGTAATTAAATCTCTGGTCTCCTGTTGGACTCACCTGATCGGTCACGTCGTAAACTACGATGATGCCGTGGGCGCCACGATAATAACTAGAGGTGATGGTTCGAAACCTCTCCTGCCCTGCCGTGTCCCACTGATGGAGCAGGAAGACAAAACAGCAACTATAAGAATAAATGTACTTTCTGTTGGTAAGATAAAACGGAAACATCCGATCTTGTACTAATTGGACCGATATGCTTCAAAATGACCGACATTGGCCGATCCAGCTGGTAAAGCCGATATTTCATCTGAGGTTTTATTTTATGGAACCAGAACTTAGAAAAAGCGATGGACTGATCCAGACTTCTTAAGGCCGATACTGATTATTCTGACTCAATGTTCCTTTCTCTTCCTCCATTTGTATGAAAATGAAACCTTGATTAATAACTTTATTGACAACATAAAACCAGACATTAACAATGAGGGAGCAGCATTGCTGAGCTTCAGCTGACCTCGACGCCCGGCTGCTGATGGAACCAATGAAGCTACATATTTCTGACTGCTGGGATCAGGTTAGGGAGCCTGCTGGGTCACAGCCCGCCGCCGCCGCTGCTGGGTCACAGCCCGCCGCCGCCGCTGCTGGGTCACAGCCCGCCGCCGGTGCGGGGTCGCAGCATCCTGAGGTGCAGCTCTATCATTTAGCCGCTTATTTAAATCCTAAACGTTGTTAAAAGATTAAACGATGTCAGATAAAAAAAGCGTCTTGTGGCGCCTGCTGCTGCGTCGTGACGACAGGAGGTGTGGCCGCGGCGTTCAGAGCGTCAGACCAGAACCGACTCGGTTCCTTTTTGGTAACCAAGCCAACGACCTGCTGCAGCCTGACCTTCTCCTCGGTAGAAACCATGAAAGAGGAAGAGGAGTGATCTGCGGCCGCTTCCTTCGTCCTGCTCTGCTGCACAGATCTGATTTATTCACAGCAAAGAAAAATGAATCGGAGACGAACGTTTGGCGGAAAAACTTCCAAAGATGCAACTTTGCAACCATGATCGCAAAAGTTCAGACAAATTTTTTCTCCATAAATTTTCAAAATTGGAACGCAAAAAAAAAGGCTTTAGGCTTTAATTAATGATAAATGGAAACTCTTTTCAGATTTTATATTCTCAAATACATGTCGAAATCTTCAAAATTTTAATTCTATTTTTCATATATTTTTCCAGATTTTATTTAATTTTAAATATCTCTGTTTATTTCTTTTCTATATTGGTAAAAGTTTAACCGTTTTAATTTCAAATGTCTTGCTGTGTTCGATGTAAATATGGAAAATGTAATTTAAGTGTTTTTTTTACAAAGTAGAATAGAGGGCGACCCGGCGGGACGGATGGCGCCGACGGGACGGCGACGCGGTTCCCAGGATCAACGCTCTGTAGTTTAACTCTGATTTTAGAAACTCAGTCTGAGGCTCTTTACACATTTTAAGTTTTAAATCACTTTGACTAAAAATACTAAAGTGTTTTTATTCTAATAATTGAATAAAAACACAGATGTATGTGTTGGTATTTCCTCCAATGAATTTCCCCCAAAAAGTAACAGAAATATATAGAGTCTTTTCTAAGTGGATTTTGTTTTTACATAACTTGAAAAACCAGCAAATTGTTGTAGATATTTAATATATTTTTAAATAGGTGATGTAATTCTGTAGGTTAGTCAGGAAGTGCTCTTTCACGAACAACTACAGGTGCTTGGTTCCAGAGATTCACTGATCATCTCCCTTTATCTCCTCTTTCTTTCATATTTTCTACTTTTTTTCTCTTCTTCCTTTCCTGTTCTACTTTAAAAGAAAAAAAAAGAAATGTCTCTGGATTCAAAGGCAGCAGAACCCTGGATTAGAACCTAACGATGGAGCAGGAAGTGAGCAGAGCCTCTAACGCCAGCAGGATGTTTAGCGTTAGCGTTAGCTTTAGCTTGGTTCTGGGATCCATCGACTCACAATCTGCAGCTTGATGGTCTTGCTGTCCAGCTCGATGGTGCGGATCTTAAAGTCCACCCCGATGGTGCTGATGTAGCTCTCTGTGTAGGTGTCATCCTGGAGGAGAACAGAAGACAGGGAGAACCTGAATGCATCAGAACCTGAAAGGACCAGAACCTGAATGCATCACAACCTGAACGTATCAGAGCCCGAACGCATCAGAACCTGCATCATAACCCGAACGCATCATAACCTGAATGCATCAGAACCTGAACTGACCAGAACCTGAAAGGACTAGAACCTGAACGCATCAGAACACATAAGAGCCCGAACGTATCAGAGCCTGAACGCATCAAAACCTGAAAGGACTAGAACCTGAACGCATCAGAGCCCGAACACATCAGAACCTG